AATATGACACCCGAATTTTTATTTATTATAAAAATAAATAAATAAAATAACAATAAATAAATAAATAAATAAAATGCATAGTTAGAAAGTCGATTAAATTACTAAGGAAATAGAGACACCGCATGTTTGGAATATTAAATATTTTAGTAAGTGGTAAGTGATGTTTTATAGTTGGGGTGGTAAGATTTTTAGACGTGAACCTAACGTCTAATTATAAATAATTTTAGGACTCATAAAGGAATCATAACTTTTAGAATTGAATTTTGAATAAATAAATAAATAAATAAAAAACATGGTGATTTGTCACCATCCTAATGCATAGGATGATGACTAAGTACCTTAGCCACGAAACAAGGGTGCCACCTGTTGCACAGGTGGCCAAACCTGAACATACCCACATGGTGTAAAGCCATGCAACATGACTATAGATAGGATCTGTTAACATCCAAGAGAACACACTACTAGTTGCATCCAAGTAAGGACGCACACTGCCGGAGTAAAAGGGCGTCGAGCAAGAAACGGAGAGCGAGCCTAGAATAATTTAGGAGTAATTTTAAGGTGAGTTTTATTATACCTTGGGTTACTATAATATGTTTTCTACATGTCTTGAGTTACCATAATATGTTTTACGAATGTTTTGAGTTGCCACAATTTATTTTATATAATTTATGTTTTATGGTTAGGTTAATGTTTCAATTACGTGAATTATTTTCTAAACTCTATTTGCGTAAATTAAAACCCATGGATATGTTTGTTTAAATTTAGTATATATTTGACAATGATCTCGTAAACAGTTATTTTCTGTAAGTACCACCACGGAAGTCCCATGCCTTGGGGGACTTAAATAACCATTGGCCCTTCTTTGACCACTTTGTTGTCCCCTGTCATGGATCCATTGACCCCTGTTCTAATTGTCACTCCAGTGACCCCTGTTCTGTACCGTGGTTATAACTATTTACGTAATTTTTATTTCAATTTCTGCTACTTAAATAATTCATTTATGCAACTTAAATGTTTTACCTTGAATAACTATTCATAGCTATTTTGTACCCCTATGCTCACAGTATAATATTTCTCACTTTGCTATGTGCTTATAGCTGTTACCCCTTTCAGGTGACGAGGTTTAGTGGGATCAAGATGTGGAATGAATCGCTGTGTGTTTTTTTAATTTATTTTTTAAGATCTCTATCTTTTTTTTTTTTTATCGAACTCTTGTAATACAATAAAACTCAAATAACTATGTTTATTTCATTTTATTAAACATTTGGTACCTAATTATTTTTGTTTTAATTTATTCAATTTATCCGCCTGCGCTGCGATTACAAAATTATTTGAATTATTTTATGTTTATCTTGTCACGACGCCGAGCCTTTGGGTATCGGGTTTTGGTCGTGACACACTTGGCGAAGTAATTTGTTGCCACTAGCAGGAACTTCCTTTGTCCAGTTGCTTGAGGTAGTTGTCCAACAAGATCCATGTCCCATTAGGCAAATGGCCAAGGGCTGGACACTGGGTTCAAATATGCTGTTGGTTGGTGTATCCAAGGTGCAAACCTCTAACACTTCTCACACTTTCTGACATAAGCTTCAGCATCTTTCTATATATAGGGCCACCAGTATCCCTGAGTAATGGCCCTATGAGCAAGTGACCTACCCCTGACGTGGCTTCCACATATTCCTTCGTGTATTTCATACAGGAAGTCTTCAACTTGTGAAGGATGCACACACCTCAAAAGGGGACCAACAAAAGATCTCCTGTAGAGATGTCCTTCTCCTGTCAGACCAAATCTTACCGACTTCAGTCTGATCTTGTGTACTTCTTTATGATCATCTGGCTGTTTTTCATCTCTAAGGAATACTATTATTCCATCCATCTAACTTGGTCCCATCTCCACACACATTGCCTCATGCTCTGTGTTCAGTGATTCTACACTTGGACCTGACAAATAGTCAACTATTATTGTCCTTACCTTTCCTGGTTTCATTGCACTAGCCAGGTTGGTCAAGGCATCAGCATGGCTGCTGTCATCTTAGTTAACTTGTTGTAGTTGGTAATTTTGGAATAATGCTACCAGTCTGCCCACCTCTTTTACATAGGCCATCATTCTTTCATCTCAGGCTACGTATTCGCCTGTTGCTTGGTTGACGATAAGTTATGAGTCACAGAAGACCATCACCTCGTTGGTTTCCATTGCTACTGCCAACTTCAATCCTACGATCAGTACTTCATATTCTGCTTCGTTGTTTGAGGCCTTAAACCCCAAACGAATGGATTGTTCCAGCATCTATCTATCCGGCGATACTAGCACTATTCTTGCCCCCGCTCCTTATCGGTTTGAACTCCCATCAATAAACAGCCAGAAGGAGTCGCCGATGAAAATACCGCAGGGCCTGAGTTTCTCTTATTTCTTCTGTTCTGCTATCCCCCACTGGGTTTCTTCTTGTTCATCTGGACATCCTAAACCGCGACTCAACGGAGCCTGATGTACCGTGGCTCCTGGTGTGAACTCAGCCACGAAGTCAGCCAAAACCTGGCCTTGGATTGCTGTTCTAGGTCTGAATTCTAGATCATATTGGCCCAACACCACTGCCCATCTTGCTATCTTGCCGGTCAGATCTTCTTGTTGTAACAGGGACTTCAAAGGATGCTCAATTAGTACCATAATCTTGTGGGCTTGAAAGTAATGATTCAGTTTCTTGGAAGCCATTACTAAAGCCAGTGTCAATTTCTCCATGGGTAAGTATCTGGTCTCTGCATCTGTTAGGGTTTTACTCACGTAGTAAACTGTCTTTTGTTCTCTGATTACCACTGTACTCACTGCATGCTCTGAAACCGCCAAGTATAAGAACAGCTCCTCTTCAGGTACTAGATTTGAGAGAATTGGAGCGGTGGTCAAGTATTTCTTCAAGTCGGCCAAGGCGACTTCGCACTCTTCTGTCCATAAGAAGTCTGTGGCTTTCTTCACTATACTAAAGAAAGGTTTGCATTTGTCAGAAGTTCTGCTTATGAATCTATTTAGGGCTGTAGCCTTTCCAGTCAACTTCTGCACTTGTTTTGCTGACGTTAGGCTCTTCAACTCCAAGATGGCCTTGATCTGATTCGAGCTTGCTTCAATGCCCTTTTTGGTGACCGAGTATCCCAAGAACTTTTTTGACCAAACTCCAAATGCGCACTACGACGCATTGAGTCGGAGTCGAAATGTCCTCAGGATATCGAAGACTACTTTCAGGTCAGCCAAATGATCCTCAGGTTCCTTGGTCTTCACGACCATGTCATCAATGTATACCTCCACTGTTTTGCCTATTAGATGTTTGAACATCTTAGTCACCAATCTCTGGTAAGTTGCCCCTACATTTTTTTAACTCGAAAGGTATCACTCTATAGCAATACAGCTCTTTTGGGGTGATAAATGCAGTATTCTCCTCATTTGGGGGGTACATGGCTATCTGATGATACCCCCTGTAAGCGTCTAGGAGGTACTAGATTTGAGAGAATTGGAGCGGTGGTCAAGTATTTCTTCAAGTCGGCCACGGCGACTTCGCACTCTTCTGTCCATAAGAAGTCTGTGGCTTTCTTCACTAAACTAAAGAAAGGTTTGCATTTGTCAGAAGTTCTGCTTATGAATCTATTTAGGGCTGTAGCCTTTCCAGTCAACTTCTGCACTTGTTTTGCCGACGTTAGGCTCTTCAACTCCAAGATGGCCTTGATCTGATTCGGGCTTGCTTCAATGCCCTTTTTGGTGACCGAGTATCCCAGGAACTTTTTTGACCAAACTCCAAATGCGCACTACGACGCATTGAGTCGGAGTCGAAATGTCCTCAGGATATCGAAGACTGCTTTCAGGTCAGCCAAATGATCCTCAGGTTCCTTGGTCTTCACGACCATGTCATCAATGTATACCTCCACTGTTTTGCCTATTAGATGTTTGAACATCTTAGTCACCAATCTCTGGTAAGTTGCCCCTACATTTTTTTAACTCGAAAGGTATCACTCTATAGCAATACAGCTCTTTTGGGGTGATAAATGCAGTATTCTCCTCATTTGGGGGGTACATGGCTATCTGATGATACCCCCTGTAAGCGTCTAGGAAGCTCATCCTTCCATGTCTTGAGGTGGCATCCACTAATTGGTCAATTTTGGGGAGTGAAAAATTGTCTTTGGGATAAGCCTTGTTCAGGCTGGTGAAGTCTACACAGACCCTCCACTTCCCATTCTTTTTCTTTACAACAGCCGTGTTTGAAAACCATATTGGGTAGTTTACCTCTCGAATAGCTCTGGCCTCCAGAAGTTTATCCACTTCCTCTTCTACTGCCTCAACATGCATCAACGGAGGCCTTTTTACTCGCTGGATAACAGGTTTGGCCGACCTGTCCACATTTAGCTTGGGGTTAATGCCAGGCATCTCGTATGCTATCTAGGCAAACACCTCAAGGTTTGCTCTCAAGAACGCCTCTAATTCCTTTTCCTCTTCCTTAGCCAAGCCTGAGCCGAGAAAGAAGAAGCACTCTTCATCCCCTTGCTAGACTAAGATCTTCTTCAAGGCCTCCTCACTTTTCTCGACTGGTTCTTTGCCGACGTCCTCAAGGACCTCCATGTCCTCATCCTTAATCTCTACTGTTTCTGTTTCTCGTATGTTGCAGGTGGATTTCATTGTTGCCATGGAGCAATTCTTTGCCTGAACTTGATCCCCTCTGACCTCCTCAATTCTATGTTCTGTTGGGAACCGCAACAGCTGGTGCAATGTTGAGGGAACAACCCCCATTGTATGCAGTCATGGCCTTCCCAGGATAGCATTGTAAGGAGAGGGGGTGTCAATTATTGTGAACTCCGTTTTTACCTTCTTAATGCCAGCCTACACCTCCAAACTTATTGCTCCTAAGGGCCACGTTGGTGTTCCGTTGAACCCAACCATTGGGCCATAGGACTGCTTCAGATTATCTTGGTGAAGGCTAAGCTCCTTGTAACACCTAACATACATGATGTCACAAGAGCTGCCTTGGTCAATTAAGATGCGCTTTACCTCCAATCTTAAGGGATATTACCAGGGCATCGTTGTGTAGATGTTGCACCATGTCTAGATCTTGTTCAGTAAAGGACATCATTGGTCCTTGGGGCTCGTCTGCCCTAGGTCTTTTCTGCCGGACATGATACACATGTTGCAGGTGTTTCACCTTCTGAGTTTCCCCACGTATCTCATTCTCATTGACTTTCGAGTGAATCACATTGATCACTCGAGGTCCACCTACTTGTGGTTGTGGTGCTAGTAGAGGTGGTGCTGCCGGTGCCTGAGGTAGTCTCGCTTGCTCTTCTCTTGTCTTGGCCTCATCTACCAGGTCCCTTAAATGACCCTGTCTTACCAGGTCTTCCAGATGTGCCTTTAGGGTTCTACACCCTTGAGTTAGATGCCTATCTTTATTGTGGTAGGCACAGCGCTTCCTCAGATTTCTTCCCATAAATTCGCCAGGAATCATCTTTGGTGATCTATAATAGGGCTTATTTTAGATTCTTTCCAAGACTTTGTAAACCGGAATTCAGAATATGGTAGTGACTGCCTGTGCAGCCCTCAGTCCTGTCTCTTGTTTATTATATTCATTATTACCTCGGCTTCGCTTCGGCGAGCCATTTCTCTTATCTTGTTTCGACGCTTTTGTCCCTGGCGTGTCTTCTTTCGCTCTCGCATACTTCTCTATCCTGGCCATAAGTTCTTCCATACTTTTTTGCAGTGTCTTTGCCAGTGATTTTCGAAGCAGACAATCATCGTTCAGGCCGTTCTTGAAAGACACGACCACCACCTCTTGGTTGCACCCTGGTATTCAGTTGAATACCTCATAATACCTCTTGGCATAAGCCCTAAGTGTGACACCCCGAACGTTTAGTCAAGTCCACATAAATATTTTTATTTATATATAATTATGGTTGCACGTGATGATAGATTATTACATGAATAAATGTATAAAATGACGTTGGGTTATTAATTAGGGATTATTATTTAAGGCTAAATTAACACAAATATAAAATTTATAATACAAATTAAAGTAAAAAAAAAGGGGGAATAAATAATAATAATATAATAATAATAATAATAATAATAATAATAATGAGTGTGGTAGTAAAATAAATATTTAATTTTCTATTGATATATGATAGAATGTAATTTAATTAAGAATTAATTTAATTATATAGTAATATTAAGAATCTGGGCTAAAATGTAAATATCTTATATATATATATATATATATTTAATGGATAAGTGACAATCTAAGTTTTAATGAAGGAGATCGGAGTGGATTATGAAATTGGATTAGATCGCCACGCGTCGGCCTCGGGGCATTTCTACTTCGCTATAAATTGGGAAGAGCTGAACAGAAGCATAAGAATGATTGGAAATCAGTGAGGAAAGAAAGGAAAAAGAAAAGAAAGAAAAGGAAAGAAAAGAGAGAGGGAGAGGTACGTAAATAAGTTGGGTTAGTGGAGTAAGGCTAAGGGTCACTATTAAGGTGAGTTATATTATACCAGGTGGGTGGTGGGTGGTGGGTGGTGATGGTGGTGGTAGTAGTGGCAAGGGGTGGGTTAATTAAATTATGTATTCAATTCAACTCAATTTATAATGTTTTTAGCTTAAATAAATATCCATGGCTATTTTGTGCCCTCATAGTATGATATTTCTCACTCTGCTATGTGCTTATAGCTGTTACCCCTTTCAGGTGACGAGGTTTAGCGGGATCAAGATGGAAAATGAATCGCTATGTTATTTTTTTAATTTTTTTTATTTTTTAAGATTTCTGTCTTCTATTATTAAACTCTTGTAATACAGTGAAGCTCCAATGACTATGTTTTATTACCTTTTAAGTAAACGGTTGGTACCCAGTTATTTATTTTAATTTATTTAATTTATTCGCTTGCGCTGTAACTACAGAATTATCCGAATCACTTTATTTTATTTTATTTATCTTGTTATGACATTAAACCTTTGGGTATCGGGTTTGGGTCGTGACAAAAGTGGTATCAGAGCCAGGTTTGTTTTTAAAATAAATAAATAAATAAATTAAATAAATAAATAATTAAATGAATAAATAAAATATATATATATATATAGTACAAGTTTTTAAAACTTTACGCAAAAAAAAAAAAAGAAATGTACTAAACTTGCATTAATATGTTATATGTCTAGCGCATACATGTTATATATATGTCTAGGCTAAGTTTTCTTGTGTTGTAGGACATGGCAAACCTATTGGAGCTATTCTGGTACGAGCCCCTAGAAGCTCATCTCCTCCCGAACCAGTTAGAGGGCTGGGGTGACTCAGAGAGTCTGGTCAGGCAAGCCCATCCAACACTTGACCATCTCATGGAAAGATCCGTTTACTTACAAGCTGACCCTGATGAGGACTTATTATTCTGGAGACTTAGCCGAGATAGCACCCGCGAAAGGTACATAGGACCAACCCACGTTGTTGGTCTTGCTCCAGATATAGAACCACCACATTTTCTGGTCTCACCTCTACCCGTAGGCTTTGTAGAGAGGAGGGGACCTGCACATCCTAGTAGCCACCTTCGCACAACGACACCACCTCCCCAGCACATTGTCTATACCCCAGTTGTGGACTTTATCGACGGTGCATCATACCTGGAGACACCGATACGGATTACTAGACGGGAATTCTGGGGTTATGATCTCGGTGCTCCTGTTTACGTGGTTCAAGTTGAGCTTAGTGGGTGGGAGTTTGAGTCCATCATGCAAAGTGAGTTTCCGGAGTTGTTTCATGGACCAGTTCTCTGAGGCCAGTTCTCTTGGTGGCCTAATGGGTCATTTTAGATATCTGACCAAAAGACCCTTTTTGTGAGCTGACCATGAGTAGTCTAATCTTTTTGTATTAGTAGGATTAGATATTGATTTGGTGACTGCCAGACTGACACCTTATATATGGTAATAATGATGTATTTGGTATTAATGTGATGTATATGTGGTAATGTTAACATGATGGTAAAGTTATTATATTATATATGAAAGTGGTGATATTAATAGCAAAACTAATATGATGTATACAAATGTGGTAATAATAGAACTAATATGTTACATATGATGTTGTATCAAAATTGTTTCAATATGATATCACGCTTACATCATTTTACCTTGTAGTAATGGCCAACGAAGGAAATGAAAACGGATCATCAGTCGGCGGTACCATCCCAACGGAACAGATCATGGAAAGGGCAATCACCAACTTTTTACAGGCCTTGCAAAGCAGCATAACCAATGGGACAGTAGAAAGACGAGAAGGATCGACTACGATCAAACAATTTCAAGATCTGAAACCCACCACGTTTATCGGCAGTCCAAACCCACTAGTAGCAGGGGCTTGGGTCAGGGACATGGAGAAAATCTTCCGCATGCTACCTTGCACAGAAAGACAGAAGGTGACTTTTGCCACCTTCACCTTCAAAGACGATGCACAGGAATGGTGGCTCCTTACCTTGGAAAAGAAAGATATTGTGACTTAGGCGAGGTTTTTAGAAGTATTCTATGAAAAGTGCTTTCCAGATTCACTACGGGAACAAAAAGAGTTAGAATTCATACATCTAAGGCAAGGAACCATGACAGTGGCCGAATATGAAAGTAAGTTCACACAGCTAGCACGGTTCGCGACATATGTCATTCCCACCGAAGCCCGAAAAGCCAGAAAATTTGAAGCAAGGTTGGATCCTGAAATTAAGGACAGGCTGGAGGTTCTAAAACTACCAACTTATGCGGCGGTGGTAGATCGAGCGTACATTGCGGAAAAAGGAATTAAAGCTTTGCGATCTGGGGAGCCAAGTCAGAGGAAGCGATTTTGGGAAAGAGATAACCGAAGGCCCAGTGTCGCACCTCCCAAGAGAATAAATACAAGCACAACCAGTTCAACCGGTCCAAGCAATCAAAGTCCTACAGATCCTAAAGGTGGCATCATTCCAGCTTGCTCTACCTGTGGAAGGACTCATTGGGGACCATGTCGTCAAGATACGAGAGCATGCTTTAGATGTGGCCATGTTGGCCATTTACTGAGAAATTGTCCAAAGCTCGTCCGCCCCTTTGAACCAGTCCGAAAACCCGCAGTACCTGAAGGAGCGAGAAAAGACCAAAAACGCCAAGGAAGAGCTTTTGCCCTGGTGCCTGGAAACCCAGAAGTTACTGAAAATATTGTGTCAAGTACACTCTCTATTTGTGGTCACTTAGCCCATGTTCTCTTTGACTCTGGTTCAACCCATTCTTTTGTTACACCACACTTTGCTACCAAGTTAACGCCAATACCCGAACCCTTAGGATACATACTATCTGTGTCTTTTCCCTCTGGAAATTCCATCCTTAGTACTGATGTGTACAAATCTTGCACTGTATCCTTAAAAGGTGAAACCTTACACGTAGACTTGATACCCCTTGGCATTAGTACCTTTGATGTAATCTTAGGAATGGATTGGATAGCTGCTAATCGTGCCTCTATCGATTGCAAAGCCAAAAAGGTGTTCCTCAGGTCACCAAACCAACTCGAGCTTGTCTTCGAAGGAACTAGAGCCTCTTCCCCTCCCTGTATTATATCCTTCATAACAGCCCAACGACTGCTAAGAAAGGGTTGTTGTGGTTGTATTTGTTATGTGATTGATACTCAACAAGAGACCCTCACACTTGATGCGATCCCCGTAGTTCGAGAATTTCTGGACATGTTTCCTGAAGACCTGGCACCCTAGTTGATCGGAAAATCGAGTTCACCATTGAAACTCAACCTGGTACCCAACCAATCTCAAAGACCCCTTACCGCATGTCCATGGCAGAATTGAAAGAACAAAAATCTCAACTCCAAGAATTACTGAATAAAGGCTTCATCCGACCAAGTACTTCACCATGGGGAGCTCCGGTGCTGTTCGTAAAGAAAAAGGATGGTACAATGAGGTTATGTATCCTTCATAACAGCCCAACGACTGCTAAGAAAGGGTTGTTGTGGTTGTATCTGTTATGTGATTGATACTCAACAAGAGACCCCCACACTTGATGCGATCCCCGTAGTTCGAGAATTTCTGGACATGTTTCCTGAAGATCTGGCACCCTAGTTGATCGGAAAATCGAGTTCACCATTGAAACTCAACCTGGTACCCAACCAACCTCAAAGACCCTTTACCGCATGTCCATGGCAGAATTGAAAGAACTAAAAACTCAACTCCAAGAATTACTGAATAAAGGCTTCATTCGACTAAGTACTTCACCATGGGGAGCTCCGGTGCTGTTCGTAAAGAAAAAAGAAGGTACAATGAGGTTATGTATCGACTATCGAGAACTAAATAAAGTCACCATCAAAAATCGGTACCCCTTGCCACGAATCGACGACTTGTTTGATCAACTGCAAGGCGCCCAAGTGTTCTCAAAAATTGATTTACGTTCTAGTTACCATCAACTAAAAATCAAAACGGAAAGCATCGAAAAGAATGCCTTTAGGACCCG